ATACTTACAGAATAGTGACCTTCTGAGTGAGAAATATAGCACCGATTTCAACCTACTGCGATGGGCTCAGGTATGCATTACACTTTTCTTCCTCCTTTTCCTATTTCCTCCACGTTTCTTTCCCTTCTCCTTTTACTCCCATTATCTTCTGACTATTCAATTTCCAGGGCTACGGTTTCGACATGGAAGAAGCGTCAGCTCAACTTCGACGTCATCTGAAATTTAGAAAGTTCTATGACCTCGACAATTATGACAAGATTCCCGAGCACGCAATTCTCAAACAATATTTCCCTATTGGATTAGTCGGTGAGTCGATCCTCCCTCCACGTTTCCCTTGATGTTTGTACGTAGATGGCACTTGTGGCCCCTCTTGAAAGAATCGGAGGAATTTCTATTGTAGGAAGAACGGGTCAGGACAACACTTTATTGGTGATAGAATGCGCTGGACGAATCGATTTGGTCGGAATACTGAAAGCAGTCCAGTTGTCCGATTTTCTTATACAACGATTTCGATTGCAAGAGAAAATGCTGTCCGCGCTAAATGAACTCGAAGCGGAAACTGGAAAACAGGTAACTTCGAGACGAACTGCAGTTTTGGCTCGAATCTTCTTGGAAGAAATTCTTCTTTTAGGCTTCCGTCATCTATATTCTCGATTTGGACGGACTCAAGTTTGAAACCTCTCTCTTGAGTATTGTGACAGGTAAGGGTTGGCAACGTTGGCACTGTTACGAAGTTTTCGCTGAATAGTTGTGCTTCGGTGAAAAAAAAAACAGATCGAGAGGGGGAACAGGAATCTTCCACCAGCCTCTTAGAGATCCTCTTCGAATACTTGCATCCGTCCTTAGAGTGGGCCTGCAGGTGCGGTAGCAAGTTCATTGAAGGGAAAATCAATCTAAAAACATTTCCTCTCCGGATGTTCCCATCACGACCAAAACCGGCTTCAGAGGATATTTCAGATTCGTGATCTAGGGTTAGCTCAGCTATTTTATGAAGTCACACTATATCCTTACCAGAACCTTTTTTCATGAAATATTTCTTGAATACGGGAAAACCTGTAGGGAGGAATCAAATGAAATGAGAAGGGCTCAAAGGCGCAGTTTAAAAAAAAGGCAGCTCATCAGCAAACGAGGTGAAGTGGCCAGTGGTGCAGGGATGAAGAAAAACCCATGAGGAATTACACACCATCCGAGTTCTCTCTCTTTTCCGCTCTCTGCTAAACAGCTACATAGAGGTCGAGGTCAACCAGTTGCTGGGTGTACAGCAGTGCAAGCTGTGCGAAAATGGCCCTGCTAGGCCGCTGTGGGCATATTTACCTCGAAACCTGTATGTACATATGTGTGTATGTAGCGTGTATACAGGGGGGGGGGGCAAAAAAAGTCACTTTGCCCATGGCGCATATCATCAAACTTTTCGTCGCAAAGGATGCCGCTGTTATTGGGAGTTATACGGCGAATATTCCTTAGATGTCCCCCCATAAGCAGAATCAGGCCCACCTTCGCTGCTTCACCGTCTCCAGAATATGACGTCATCTGTCATCACCGTCGAGCTCAAGGAGGCCTACCATAATCGCTCCATTCTGAAGCTGCTACATAATTTCTTCAATCGGATAACTGGTGAATGGCTTTACCGCGTTTAGACGTCGTAATCGTCTACGGTACGACGACCTCGTTGAGCTTGTACCGCGAACCATGTTTCCGATGTCGTCGGTGTAGAAAGCCCCTATGTAATTTTTTGATAGAATAGAATGTGCTCTTCAATATGCAATTGAGCTCATTCGGTTTGGTTTCTGGCAAAGTGTAATTAATTCTGTTTTGAATGTGAGTAGAGTGACTTTTTTTTGCCCCCCCCCTGTATATCCCCTTCTTCGACCTCGGACGTAATCGCGAAGTTCTCCTTTTATGGTGAAGATCTCTCGTTCTTTGATACTTAACCCTGCATTTTACGAACAATTTAAATGATGGGATGTAATTTTTCATTTGTGTAATTTGCACCAGATTTCTCGAAAAATTTCCTTTTTTTTGTCCACGTTTTCAGAAAGTGGCTTCCTGAACGTTGCATCCTGAACGCCCCAGGAATGTCAAAACAGCGGGAAGAAATGGTCCAAAGTTCGATCCTCCGTGATGACAAATTTTTGCAATTTATGTTGGCGCCTCCAAATTGCCGCAAAACACGACAATGACATCTATTCTCGACGATGGCGCCATTTGGCGGCAATCTGGGGCGCCAAACTATATTGCAAAAATTAGTCATCACCGGGGACCATTTCTTCACCACTGTTTTGACATTCCTGGAGGCGTTCAGGAAAAATGGATCATGGTTCTGTGTTCCTCGCATGAGCCCCTACAACATGCAGAAAACCATTTGGAAAAGCGCTCCATGTCTGAAAGACCTCCCTTATAAGGACATGATTCTCAATTTTGATATTGCAAGAATCTTCTGGTGGGAGGAGCCATGCCTTGGCTGCCAACAATGATCGAGTCGGCCTTTTCATCTGATCAACTATCAGCGTCAATTTTAAGAATGTCATTGGTTATCAATTATCAACCGATAGCGGACGTTGATGACACGGGTTAGACAGGGTTAAAAAACACATTACAGCCACCTACCAGTTGAAGTTCACAATAAGGAAGTTCCATTTTATACCCGTCTGGGCACCACAGTATTATTCATCATTCACCTTCTTACTTCAAGGAACGCAATTTGGGCGCCTTATAGATATAACGAAAAAAAAGTTTCAGCAAATTTACGGAGTCCTATAGATCGCTTGGTTTTTGCTCAGCACTGCTTCAACCTCCCCCCCCCAGGGTCAACCCTACGTCGGGACAAGTACAACGGGGGGTCGTAGTTTGTTGAGTTTGTGGCGGGGGTCGTACTTGCTTCGGTAGCGCGAAATTATATGTAATGAGGTGAGAGGCGCGCGGAAGAAAATTTGCCGTTTCCACCGTGCGTATACCCCTCCCCAGTCCCCCCCCATTCGCCCTCCTCGACGGTGTTTTTTGAAGGAAAAGGATGTTTTGAAGAAAGGGTCGTATGACTCTCATGAAGGAGGAGGGTCGTAAAATTTTCACAAAGGTCCCAACGGTAGGGTTGACCCTGCCCCCCCCCCCCCCCTATCAAACTGTTAAAGCGATCGTCCCAGCAGGGATCATACCTTCGATACTAATGGTGTGAAAATGATGCGCTAGCCCTAGTCAAGAACCTAAGAATTGTCACTGAACAAGAAACACGTCTTGGAAAGCCGCTAGAAGGGACTTGAACGCTTTCGAAGTGGGCGTTACCGACAATATTCGGTAACGCCCACTTGCCAGCCGTGGAGATCACGTGATCTGCTTTTTGTTTGGTTTACTTGCTTGAATCGTTTAATTGTCGCATTTATTTGTTTGTATTGGTGCATATGCGACTGCAGCGAAAGCAGTAAATGCCGTCGGAGCAAGCTAGTCTGGACACCTCTTCCGACACGCCCCTTCCTCCATTTCATTCCAAAGGGGAGGACTCCCTGTTTGAAGGCTCTATCTATTTTTGAATGTGTGCAATAGAGAAACAAATCAATAAGGGCACTATCGCATCATACGGGGGCATTCTCTAAGACTAAGCCTAAGAGAGAGCGGGAACGTCCGAGAAAATGAAAATTCTGATGCACCCTGGAGTTTCTGCTCCCTTGCGTAACCATAAGGCTTAGTCCCGTTTCCAACAAAAGAAGATGTTTCCCGTGGTTGCAAGTGAACTGCCACCACAACGCCCTGTATCTTGCGATAGCGCCCAAATAAGTTTTAAATGATGAAATTCAGGTCCATATCGTATCCTATGGGCGTCTGTCTACACCAACTATCCAGAATGGATTAAAACGTGTTATATCGTGAACGCCCCACCATTTATGGGCCTAATCTGGAAGGTGAGGATATTTCTTCTTTTTTTTTAGCACAGATTTCGAATCGTAACGGCATGTGTTCCACAAAAGCTCTCGCGCGCGGATGCGGTGAAGAGTGCTGGTTATGCTGGACTACGAGAACGATGACAGAAAATGCTCGATTAGAGGCGTCCAAGACTAGGTAGTTTTATAAGGCTAACGTTTTCGGCTTCTTCGCCTTCGTCAGAGCCTGAAAAAGTCACAAAAGGCAATTCACATTTGCTTTGGACCTTTTCAGGCTCTGATAAAGGCGAAGAATCCGAAACATTAGTCTTTTAAGAGCTACCTTTTCTTTTACCGCTCTAATCAAACATTCTTCTGATCAAACTATGCCAAGATAAAAAGCAAGTCGGTCCTGGAAGAAATGATGACAATGTTGCTGAATGATGTACTGAAGTTCATCTGAAAGGCAACTGAAGTATCTAGAAGAAAAAACTAGCACCCAGTTTGTCTGGCCGTTCAGCGCGTAACGAATATATGGAAGAACTTATTTCCCGCAGAACCCTTCACTTTTTTCTGTCATTTTTTGAGATCCGAACACATTCTAAATGGACAACACGCAACATAAAGCAAGCGAGCGAGTGTGGCGCTTTCACGACGAAAGGTGCGCTGGTTGCTGAGCAGGACTTCGAAAGCACTCCGCCCACAAAAGCGATCCGCCCAAGCTGGTGATTTGGACGAGCTGCGTTGCCAGCAGCGGCACAACTGGAGCAACTCGATTGGAGCGTGACTCGATTGAAGCGTGGTTTGCTCGGCGACGCCAAACGCTTAGCGATCAACTCGTTCATATGTCTGCTTTCTGAGCTGTTAGCTGCTCATGAGCGAAAACCAACGGCCAAAAAAGGGGGTCGCGTCTTGCGTTTTCTTGCCGGAATTCTCATCTTCCTTCGTGCTCTCGTACCATCGAGCACCACCAGGTCTCCTTGAACCCCTTAAAAGTCAATCGTAATTGCTGCCTTTGATGAGCCTTTAAAGACTGCCGTTTTCAGGCATTGGGTCCGCTGCTGCCAGAAAGAACTCGAAATAAAGTGCAACTTTGGACAGCAAACAGTGATTGGAAGAAATCAAATTCAAAAGGTATCTATAATTGTTTTTCGAAGCGATTCGCTCGCCAAAGCCTAACAATTCATGTTGCCAGGTCGCTAAGCCAGAGAACATTCCGGCTTATTGGGGAGGAAAGATGTACGACGCGAATGGCGATGGAATGTGCCGGTAAGCGCTCGTGGTCTCAGAAGGTTTTCACGGGAAAACAGAAAGATTTCAAATTCTCAGAATCCGTCGCTACCTTCCTTTGACATTGATGAGCAGTCTTTCCTATTCAATTAATATAATCTGCGCTTTTGAAAACTAGATCGTGTAGAGTGCAAGACCGATGTACGCACAACTGACCGACGCGTCCTAAGTCAATCTGGTGCTAGTGGTTCATAGTAATAGCTGATAGTTGGTAAATAATAGCAGTAATTAGTGACAGCTGATAGAATAGAACTGCAAGCGGCTAACCATTTCATTAGCAGTAACTTTCACATAGTGTGGAGTCCGTCCTCTGTGATGCATGGTCGCATCTGGTTTTCGGAAGCAGAGTTTACATGCATAGGGCATCAGTGTACGCATTTCGGCCACTTACGATAGTCCGATGCTGGCGCTCGAGTCCCAAGCACTTTTGAAAAAAAAAGTAAGCGGAGGCTAAAGAAGTCATGAGAAAGATTTGAAGGTGTACGGTGGATGAAGGGATGCCATGGAGGGTGATTCTGTAAACTTGAAAGTGGTAGGAAGACACGTCTGTTACCATTTGAAGTGGATTCCTCACTGAATTGGAGGTAGAGAAAGTGGAAATGTATCTACTAGGAAGGGATTCACTCCTTTAGGAAGCGGGACAATGCACGTTTTGCACTAAGGTTTAGCCCGTGGCCATCTAACAAAGGCCAAGCTCCGGCTCTCCCGGCTTCGCACTCCCAGCAAGTGCTATGCTGCCTAGATTCTGACCTAGGACTCTCACCTGTTCTAAGGCGAGAGCGCAGAGAGCGCTCCACGAATGACGGGCGTCAGTACCGATGAGACTCGCCCAAAGGGAAAAGCAACGGGGAGAACGGGAGCCCATTTCACGGGGTTTGGGCCGTTTTCTCAATACTTCTTCTTTCCTGCTTCAATGACCACCCTTGCATTTTCATTCATTTTTTTTTTCATTTTTCATTTCCGCCGAACGATCATTTTATCGTAAACTCAGCCTTTAATTGGCTGAATAGATGGGAGGGGGCTTGACGGGAATCCATCTCTAAGTTTTCACCTCCGAATTACGGTGCATGAGTAGTATGGCGCGGAAGTGAAGCAACTTTCCATTACTCCACTTCTGCGTCATGGGAAATAGTTGATCGGCTTATAGGGAAAAGATAGCTTACAGCCCTAAACTCAATATGGTTTTGATCAGTGGAAACAGAAGCTATTCCCTCGCCTTGTTTTCACTGGCATTTTTGAGCCAGCCAAGAAGGGGGAGGGGGTGGAGAGAATTGTTCAAAGTGTTTCGGCTCCGCTTTCCTTGTTGATTGCGCCCATTTTCCGCTTTTTTCAACAGTCAAAAACGAAATATTCACTCAAACTAGCGTGGAACCGCGTTCAATGAGCAAGGAAACATAACGGATTTGTTTTCAGTGATCGCCTGAGCATCCCATTTGACCCGATTCCTCATGAACTGTATTGGGAACCCGACGAGCGAGCTCCTGGTCTCAGCGAACTCACTTGTGCGGTGATTCCCTGCCGGTAAGGCCAAAACGGTCACCTACGTGCTCTCCACCCATGAACCCACCTATATCGTTGTGAACAGGTGAGGTACCATTTGTATGAGCACGACCTACAGGTGGTAGGATCCGTTGCTTCAGATTCTGCGACCGAACATTTCGGTATGGGCATCTGGTACAGTGATGACGTCGCTGCCGTCGATTTTGCCTTGGATGAGATGGTGGTGCGACCTTTTGGAAGCACCTAATTTCAATGCTACCTGTTCAGATTGGTTCCCCGACTTCGACTACCCTGGAATGCCAACTGTTGATTATCTACGAATCAAAACTCTCGGCGCTGGCGTGTACAAGGTGAAATATGGCAACGAGCAGGTAATATCGATTATTTAACATTTAAAATACTTCTCAAGTAATTAATAAACTTTACAGGCGTGGGTGCGATCATTGACGGTCTACTACAGAATCAGATTTGAAACTGAGAAAGGCGAACTGGCTGATTTCAAGGAACTTTAGAGATCGACTTATGAACCTTCGCATTTTGCGCAAGTCTGCCATGTATTGATAGTCCGAGCCTAGAAGGCTTTTCTCATTGGATCGGCTCCGGAATGGGACGAGTCCACATCAACTGAAACCACCTGCTTTTCAGTAGGCACATCTCCTATATAGATGTTTCCGTACGATTTTCGGGTGTATGGGAGGCGTCGATACAATGAATAGCTTCTATATTTCTCTCCGATTGAATTAAATATGTGAATTTTCATGCAGAACTGATAAACCGCTGATAGGACAACTAAATACGCTAGAGATTATGTACTTCTGTTTGAGAGCTGCACAATGGGTATTGTCGTTTTCAAGTGTATTGATTGATGATCCAAATTGATCCATTGTGTCTTTTTTCTTTCCTTTCATAGATAAACCGTCTTATTCCTTGACCAGAACACCTTTGAAGCAGAGCGCCCAGCCCTCTTTTTTCTGCCCATCAATGACGCAAATGGCCATAAGGAGGGATTTATCCTCAATTCAGCCAAGAATGCGGCAACAGTGATCCGTTTGAAGCGAAATCAGCTACAAAGTCTTCCACGAGTTCGGCGAGTTTGAGTGCCACCAAAATTGTCCTGGGCATGAAATACTGATTGGCACATTCGCCTGCTCCATCCACGACTTTTCTGCATCAGCGCGACATTCCTGGACCAAGTGGGCCTTCAAATGTCACCACGATTCTGGCTGTTGAGCAAACGCATGGCGCATTGGGAACTAGACTGATCAGAGCGATAAAATTTGTTTATAGATAAGAAATGGATCAAAATGCGTAATT